CGTTGAGGCCCTCCGTTTCAATTACAAGTGACAGGCAGTTATTATGTTTTATGAATTGTGGAGAATAACAGAACCGTTTTGCTCAGGAAGATGCAGTGTTAGTCTCACACGATCGTGAGAGTTTTGCATCCTGTTGTTTCTGTTAAATAAAAAAGAGGGTTCGACGTATCGGTGCCTTTTGCTGAGGCTTTTTTAAATTCCTCTTGGCCAGCCTTGCGGGTTTGTCTGGAAAACTGCCCGAGACCACAGACGCCATGGTGTCGTGCCTGTCTGCCTTTCAGTCCCAGTGAGACCACCGGCTGAGCACACCGTGCTCACAAGACAACATCTGAGAGTGCGTTTCCCATAGCACAGGGGTGTAAAATGTCCGACCTTTATTGACATTCAATGTGCATCCCCGGGCAGTAAAGTAAATCCGTCTTCATCTCTAGAGGGCTCGGCTGAATTGGTCTCGATATTGATTCTCTCCATCAGTTTTTTTTTCTTTCTTTTATTTCTATATTCCAAGACAGGGAAGTGAAAAAACTATAGATCTAACCGAAGCGCACTCTTTATATGAGGGACACTGTCTCTTTTCTTAGCCTACAACCTGTTTTAATTTCTAAAATTCATTGGTGATACTAGATACACAAAATATATCTACATGTCTTGTGATGTGGCAAAATGTAAGCCTAGCTATTCGGTCCACCTAGTCTTAAAACAGGTGCATTTCAGAGATAGTTCCCAGAGTCCCCTGCGACAAGGACATCACGTGATGTCCACCATTTTGGATTCTGATGACTACGTTGGTGCGGCGTGAATTCAGAGGAGTTTTAGATGCAGGGAGTAAATACAGGGCTATACAACCTTGAGTACATTCTAAAAACTTCCAGAAAGATGAAACTGCACGCATTGACTCGAAGCTTTTACATAGCTCTAGAACGTCCATCACACAAGCAATATGCATTCTAGACCTGCACGTCTGTACAGTAGTCACTGTGTCTCAGAAAAAGACATTTTGACTGTCTCGAATCCATAATCTTCTTCTTCGAGCGATGCTGCACAAGTTCTTGCTATTTAAGATTTTTCTGAAAGTTACTTGCCAAACTAGGCCTATAAGGGATCCTTCTGAGGCATTTGCACAAGCAGGATTACACTAAGCTGCATTGAATTTGTCCTCAAATTGCTCACCGATGGGGTGCTATTGTTGCCAAATGTAGTATGGTAAAGTATGGTGTTACCATTTTAACGCCTTATAGTTATGAAAAATGAATGACAAAGACGAAAGCATCTTAATTACAAGATCCTGGTTGCTGTATTTTATTGTCATTCATCAGTGAAAATATAAAAAAAAACGTGAACTGAACCGTAGTGAAACCAGCACATGAATCCGAGTATGAACTGCATGCACAAAAACAACTACATCACTACACACTACAGCACTGAAATGCGTACTGGAGAATACAACAGCTATCTATACAACAGATAATGAACACATTTTTTCTTATCGGAGCATGAACAGTGACCTCAAACATGGAACATAACGCTATACAACATGAGGTAGGCGAGTCTGGCCCATAGGCCTTCAATGTTGACATTATTTGTAGCCGAATGATTTGTTGTTTCCATTGGTTATATAGCTTACAATCACGATCATCAGCAACGACGACATCAAAAAACAGATTTTGACCTAATGTGAGCGTTTGTCAAGTGTAATGTCTTATACAGGAGAACGATCATTTTTCTTATATATCTTGTATTAAAATTAGTACGAATACCTTACATGACACTTCACTGGTAATTTGAACTAGACATGGTCCTACAGAGTTGGGAACATTTTCATAAATTAAGAAAAAACTGATACATGATATATATATTCATATATAATTTTGTTTACTACCGTAGCATAGAGATGAATCCCAAGTAGGCACAATTTACATACAGCCAATAGAGATACCGTTGTTATTACAAGACATATATCAAATACCCTTCCTTATATCAATACATACGATTTAAGTGTTCTTCCATTGTATTTCCATATTTATTGCTGGGTGGGTTGTATACATTCAAGGTCAATATAGGACTGAGAATGTTAAGTGGTCTGCCAATGCAGAGATATTTTCCAAGATGGCGGACTAAAAATGGGACTAAAATAATGAAGAGGTACAAATCGACCTGAAGTTTTCCATTTCAATACAGATAAGGAGTAGAATTTAATATCTGCATACATCACAAATGGTGTACATGTAAAGAATTTTGCGTTCTGTTTTCAGAAAGATATCAGAACATCTTGAAGTGCCATCGTCAATCTTATCCCTAACTTTGATTTAGATATCCGCCATCTTGAAAAAAAAAGTCGGTGGTGGGAGGGGGTATCCAGTCATAGCCTATTACACTGTTTCAAGATAAGTGTTTGAAAGGATATGAAGTACAGACAATTCTGACCACAACATTACCATGAGAAACAATGATTATATAAACTTGGCACAGCACGAACGCTTTACAATGCAGCAAGAGTTCTCCTTCTATCTAACCCCGTGTAAATAGCTACTTACTCGCATCAGATTCGCATTCAAGGTCATTTTCTATGGACCGTAACACTTTGGCATTCATTAGTTGTCGAATACGAGCCTATTGCCTACTACAGCCATTTCGCACAAACGAGTACAAGTCAAAGAACCAATGGCTCCATCCGTAGCATATTTTACAGCCGTTTACGACACCAGATAGTATTCCATTTTATGCATACATTTCTTGTAACATGAATTTTCTGGCCCTGCCTAAGATGCGGTGACTTTATAACGTACCGTGGCAGTGCATCTAGTGCTATGATACTGACATAACTGACTATTAGAGAAAGTAAGGGGAGGGCGAAAGTGTCACCGTATTTTCTGAGACCGAAGACAAGCATTTCATCTGGGAGAATGGCGACCCATAACGTTGTACCTGTGGGGGTGAATCGTATTTTATAACAGGTGCATTTTTATCCAGAAGACCTTGATCTGTGGCTTATCTGGTGACGCACAGAGGCACATGCAAATGCCTCTGGGCTTCACACCGCCGACAATGATAAGATCCAGCACGTTTATGGATGAAAAAACACCTAGCTAGAGAGCGCCAGAGATCGATTGCGGCGTAGGATAACGTTGGCAAGTTTGGCCACGTTTTGGACCTGAAGTCAAGCCCTGACGACGCCTGTGGGTAGAGTTATAGGAGCGAGGGCGCCTATGGTTCACATATAAGAACATAAATACACCACGCGCCATTTCATGTACATCGGATTGGCGGCGAGCAAAACATAGTAACCTTGACCTCTGACCTCTCCGGTCACGCCGATGCGTCATGCAGATTACGCTAAGTGCCGGTCTGCCGGTTCTGTGTACAGTGGGGGTGGGGTGGGGGGCGCTAAATTCGCGTGTACCATTTTAGCAAGACTTCATATTGTATTTAGATCGCATGCTCTGTACGCTGTTCTACTGCGTGTCCTTAGTAGCCACACTCCTCCTAAATCCGTGAACGTAAGAATGCCTCCTCCCCAATCTTTCCATCACAATCACAGTCTATACGTACACTATCCTAACAGCTAGTAGCACCTTCAAAAAGGGTGGTTACATTTTGTATATGCTGATTGTCATTGACCTCGCACAAGCACAAGAACCATAATAACTAGCACAAGCATTGCGCATGCATGCCCATTAAATAACGCGAACAAGACGACCAATTCCTTCACAATGTTGTGGTTTTGATTCCCACACAATCTCAGTTATAAAAGTTGATGGCAATTTGTCTCATATTTGGCACAGTCAAAAGCTACCACAATTTTTTTTTTGTTTTTGTGAAAACTACAGCAAGTGTTATTGACGTTCACAGCATGTAGTATTCTCAAGGACAGCGGAATTACCTTCCCATGAATCCACGCTTTTTTTACAACGTGATGTCACCTCCTATCTCCTGTCAAACGATTTCCCGAAGAGTGATGACCCGTTGCCATAGTAACCAGAGGTTCGTCCGACAGGTTTATGACTTCACCGCATATTTATGTCTTCGACCTTCGCGTGGAATGGCCTGGAAGAGGCTATGCTTTCTCATAGCCTCGTCTTCCGATAAATTTACCTGAATATTCCAAACACACAATTGATATATCATATTGTCTTTAATCTTCAAAGATATTTTCTGCTCTATTATACCTGCTCAGATGCAGAGAGATGTTGATTAAGAGTTATCGTTTGATAATTTTTTATTATTTTTTGCCCCACGGCAATAACAGTGGAGCAGGCATTAAATTTCGCACAAGGAATATAACAAAAAGATATGTTCAGTCCCAAAAGTCCCAAAGGTCTATGATTCTAGAGGGTAATTGACCAAAGAACTCATCACACTACTTTTAAGCACCGTTTTGCTGCTATCAGACGTTGGCAGGACGTTAAGAATTTAAAAAAAGGACCGTAAGTGGAATGAGGTCAAACCCAGTCTGCCACTCAAAGTTCAGCACTGGGAGTCAAAGTCACGTTCAAGGGTTATCACCAGATTTGATTGAAGACTCCCATTGCAGGATTTCGACTTGCTGTATTTCTTTGAAGTACTGGGTGTGGAGACAAAAAAAGATGGCGGTTTCATAACTGTTGTCCGCTCACCTACGTTGTGCTGCCATCATGAAAAGTGCCCGGATGTTCTAATGTTGGTATCCATGTTCTTCGGGTACTGGGCTACTACCAACACTTGCCCCTTACTATCGGCAGTGTGTCTAAAATCTGACAGGATGTTTTTGCAGACGTCGAGTAGACTGAGACTAATCTGGTGTAATTTTGCCAGCAGGGTGGCCCGCCATTAACAAGTGGTTTCTAGTGACCCTTATGGTCCACAAATTAGCTCAAGGACAAATTTCTCCCGTAACCGTCCTTCAGACAGAAGGGAAGTGGGCGTCTTATCAACTTCCAAACCTTTCCTCGTGTTTTCTCCCAGCTGGGATATAAGTATATACCACCTGCTTCAGACTATCCTAGCTGGCGTAAAGCTGCACTAAGTTTCACGTACACAAAAGTCGATCAGAAGAGAAGCATTTAGAAATGCTCTATCGCATTTCGAAGGAAAAAAAACAAACAGTAGTTGCTCCGTCATGTTATTGATAGTTTTGTCAAAAAAACACGTTTATGTACACCAAATACTTGGATAGATACCTAGGTTGTGTAATTATGGGTTGTTATTAAATTATGCGTACAAGTGTTGTGCGTGTCTTTGCGCGGCGGCTCTACGCGCTAACTTCTTCTCCTTCATCCGGCGGTTCTGGAACCATATCATCACCTGCCTTTCTGACAGACTACTGCTTTCCGAGATCTCCTTCCTTTTCTCCTTCGTCAGGAACTTCTGCGAGGCGTACTCGTCTTCTAGCAGGGCCAGCTGGGGTTTGCTGTACGGGCGTCGCTTCTTTCTGGTCCGAGGACGCTGGGTTGTCGTCCCGGTGCCTGTCGCCGAGAAGCCCTTCGTACCACCGGTTACAGGATTGGTGCCTGGGAATGCAGTAAGGGCTACAAAAAGAGGGGAAAAACAAACTTTAAACATTTCCGAAAAATTGCTGGTACAGTAGAGGATATAGGGGTTTTCTTTTACACGACCAATATTGTCTCTTACCATGCAGAACTTCAGTCAGAAGCTCTGAGGAAAGTGTCTCAAAAACACCGAAACGTTAACAAAGTAAGAGACAATGTTGGTTGTGTAAAAGAAAACCCTTATATCCTAAACTTTAAACAAACATTTTATCAACGATGTAGACGTCCACAAAACATAGCACAGCAAGAGCAAAGAAGACAGAACAGATTTTAAACCACTGAGTTGTGTACACAGTTCATGTGTGGTGTGTATCATGATTAGTTTGAAAGAAACTTTGTTTTAGTTAGTATCCCAAGAGGCAAATGTACAGTCTGTTTTCTCTAGATCAGATATTTACGTGCACACACACACACACACGCACACACACGTGCGCACGCACACACACACACGTACACACAAACACACACTCACAAACACACTCGCACGCACAAGTGTACACAATAATTCTCTTATGCCTGTCCACTTTTTCACTTAGTTCACTAAAAACAATCCAGTCGGAACTTAAAAATGCATAGTTGTCTCTTAATTACATTTCTCTACATACCACATGTATCTCCGAAGATTAACTTATCAATTTATAAAGACTACCCCATATCTGCCCTTAAATACTGTGTATTGTAACCTACATGCGAGAAGAAAGATCGTTATCCGTACCAGACTGTGTTATGATAGGAACAATACAAAGTAATCCTACCAGTTAAAAACGTATTAATTCTCCACAAGCTGACGCGCGTAGCTAATCCTACAAGGATTAAGTCTCTTAAAAAGCTGTTAAACATTTTCTTTTCTCTGAGAACGCCGTCAATGCTACCAAATGGTCCTCTCAGTGTGATCAATGAAAAACATAGAAGACCTCTGTGCAGATGTCACTATAGTGTGGTGCTAAATGAATAGAACACTTTTTTAGGTCAGGCGAAAGTATAGAAACAAAATAACATTTGCGGTATGACATCTGTGACTAGATCTCTTCCTTTTTCACCTGTGTCCTATTTTTCTACCACAAAGTTATGGAAATAGCTTTTTCGTACAGAGTATATGGAATCTAGTTGATGAGAGCGTATACAGTAAAATTAGATGCTCTTTGCTGTAATTATTCCTATGATATGGCACATAGAAACAATTGTGTGTTTTGTGGGAAACATAAAACAACGGTTAACCCTCTTCCAACAACTTTAACCTCTTCGTAAAAAAATACAAAAAATCGCTTCTCTTTACAAACAAAGCATCTGTATTTACATTACTTGGTCTGTAATGATAGGGCAGCATCCTAGATGCATTGGCAAAGTAGCTAACCGTTGTGTTTTAGTCGTATAGGAAAAGTGCGGAGCTATAGTAAGACTGGTTGGCAAGAGCTCACACAATGTGCGGTGGTTCCCCTAGTTAATGAAACTTTATGAGCGATGGTAAAAAAGAAAACACCACACGAGTTGGGTGAGAATTCTGCGGTTGGTATTGTGTGTGTCAACGTGGTTTCTTTATCCCGATATTACTTTCCATTAAATCTTACCTTCTATTTTAATTCCTATGAATATTCTTCAGCCCTGACTCAATTCGATGATATAGATAGAGAGTTTGGATCTTTCTGTTGACGACTTTTTTTCTTTGAAAATTCGCCGGAATTTGGGGGCTTGTACGTTCGTGTCTTGCCGTGGTATTACAGGTAAATTACCAAATGCAACTGTACCTCGTGGTAACTGAAAATTGATCGTTGTTTTATCGTCCTGAATAAAGATGAATTTTTAGCTCATAAATCGCCAGCGCAAATGAGGAATTGAATATGAATGAGCAGGTGCTTTTCAGCCCTTGTGCAAAACAACGTCACAAAGTATGTATACATGCGTGAAGAAAAACAGCAACAGAAAAAAAGTTGTAACTTGCAAGACGGCTTGTGCAATAAAAAAACATGCAGTGAACACAGCTGGCTAGCTACAAGACCACCTGTGTTCTTTGTTCCTCTTGTTTTTCTCATTAGAAACCATATATGATAATTTAGCTTCAAATACGCCATACACAAAGTTCCAAGCTATGAACTAGCAAGACATAATGTATTACGGGACATATAGACAAGCTAAGGCAAGCGGCACGGCCGATATTCGTCTTTTCTACCCCAGTGGATCAAAAACGGCGACTAGCGGAGCTCCCGCCCTAGCGTTTAAATCGACTTCCGTAGCGCATATATCTTCCTCCCGACGTTTTAATCCTTGTAAAAAGTGCACGTTAAAAGCGGAAGAATATCGTTTAGTTGTCGTTTGTGATAAAAATTACCTTGCGTGTAGACTGTGGCGGCTTTGGGAGGGGAAGAGTTGGTGGTCGGGTGTAACTGTTGGGCTCCGTACATGGATTGGTTGACGGGGCTGCGTTGGTCGTAGTAGCGGCAGCCGTACTGAGCGTCCACGGCGTAGCCGGGAGGACAGTATTCATGGCCATTGGGGAAGGGGTCGCATCCTCTGGACTGCGGTAGGGCGAAGCCGACGGGTTGATAGGTCTGTTCTCCCGGCGTGTAGTACTCAGCGATAGGAGCTGGGCACTCTTGCGCCATGTGCAAATGGTGAGAGGAGGCGTTCCACCCCATGTTGGTCGCCCCGTGGGATACATCCTTACGAGCTGGCATCATGAGTAGCGGCACGGGAAGGTCCCGCGCGTAAACAGAGTCCCGCGAAAGAGCGCTCGACTGCACGGTGTAGGTGTTGGAGTGTGGCGTGCCCTGCCCGGGTAGAGGCTTGCACCCGCCGTTCAGACCACCCCAGCTCCTCGGCAGCAGGTCGGTCTCCGCCCCGGCGATCCCGCTCATGTCGAAACGGTGCCGTCGGTGTTTCCAGGCGTGAATGACTCAAGGACACCGAAGCCGTGTCTGAGACGGGCTTGAAATACCGTCGTACGAAGGTTTGCCTAAACACCATTCATCATAGCGTGGTCCGCTCTGAGACAGGCGCGCTCATTGGACGGTTCCATCGCTTTATGACAGTCACGTGACGTGCGCGGGAAATTGTGGCACACCCCATGTAGGAAAAAACTGTGTTTTTTCTAGACCATACTCCATCCTCATACATGTCTCACTACGTGTCTTCCCGAGAACATTTACAAAATCTAGACGAAGCGAGTCTCGTCGAAAGACGACAGTTTCTAAAAAAAATGTCGACGAAATTATTTGTCGCAAAAACTACCCTACAGCCACTAGACACACAGTAAATAAAGCAGTACTTCAGTAATTAGCAACTTTTCTACATATAACTTTTATATTCTGATCGAAAATTTGCAATATTCACGTATCATGATATCGCCAAACTGGGCACACATAATATTTCAAAGTGTATAGAGTAATTTCAGGATACAGGCAACTGATATACAACATGCAACAAAACCACAAGATTTTCCTACATCGAAGCAGTTCTTTTCACTCGATTGTGCTATTATCAAAATCAACAGTGTCATAAGAGCATCCTTCAGCTAAACAAACTTGAAGTATTCAATTATTGCTGATTATAGGACGATTTTTTTTCGATAGTTTTTGCGCCAGGACGCTAGAGTCATGGTAAGTATTGGAACGGACAACACTAGACATGAAAACACCATCTAGACAGTAGAACATACTAGGACCTGTTTTGTCTAGACTGGACGGTCTGTTGCAAATACTTGTAATCTCATTTTATTGATCACCCTCTCGCTTTCTTCATCTTTTTTTCTGTTATTGGTATTATTACATACTCCACCGTCTACAAATACGTTGCGATTATTTCATGTTTTGCAAGAAAAAAAATGTGTCAACTTTTGTTTACATTGTGTGTTAATGAGTTTCGTTCCGCAGGTGTCTATATGTATACAAACGTGTAAGGAAAATGTGATTTTTCCCTGACTATTGGTAAATTCTTGGCAAATTACAAACAAATAGTATGAAATAAGCGTTCGTAACAATAACATAATATGATCGTATCTCTTTTCGTTCGTTTATCTACGCGTATACAAACTTGAATTAGAGTCTAACATTGTAAATGTTGAAACATACATAAGATATTTAAAATAATTTTTCTTTCTAAGATATTTGACAGATTTTGCCAGAATAATTCCAAGGCAGGAAAATGGTACATAATAAAGTATAATTCCTCAATTCTTTGGTTATTTCGGTACAAGAGAAAATATAAAACTGTGGTCTGGGACCTGAAGTATAGTCATTGATATCTAACCAAACTTAAATGGTATTTACAGTATTTTTCATATTATTCAACATGATAAAACATGCTTTCTATTAATCATTTTCCTAAATAACACAGTATAAATCTATTTGTTGTATATGCAACCTCAAATTAACACGAGGCATGTCCGAAAACACCACTCTCTTACCTATAATTATCTGTATATAACATAGGAAACGATGGTATCAACATATTACTTACCACATGTGTTAAACATATCGCTTGTAGATTCTGTATAACGTGTGAGTTGTTGACAAGTGTTGTGAATTTCGCGTCACATAAAAACTGCCATTTAAATCTCAACACAAAGCAGGCAAGCATACAGCCGGTAAGCTAATGTTTATACATGTATGCTTGCTGTCTTTGGACTTGTGGATACATACTCAAAGAATACTCGAAACACATGCGAGCATTTTCTATGCTTTTGTAACTTCATGAAAATACATCAGAATTATCAGAACCGGTTTTCCCGTGTCTGTATAGCATTTTTGGCAGAAAACAAAGGGATCCTTCCAAAATAACATTACCAGAAATAGTACTATTACTTTGGCATAGCAACAGGGCATTTGAATCCACATTTTCAGACGGGGCGTCAAGACATAGTCTTTAAGTACAAAATAATGGCAAACATTATTTTATATGATGGTCAACTCGACTTCTAATTGTACAATTTTAAATCTATATGACGTATTTATATACTACAATATAGTGTATTTTTTGTGTTTTGAAAAATAATATTTGAGTAGCACGTGTATTTCTATGCGTGGGTGTATGTCAAAAATGCTCGTCTGCCGGCAGAAACAAACGAAAAGCACCTGCACAGAAAATAACTTGGCGAAGGTGAAATATTTCCCAAACAGCGAGGTCTATTTGTGCAACATGTTGATATAAGTACGATCTTTGAGTGTTCCATAGTCAACACAATGCCACAGGTAGCTAAACTATCCAACTAAGCATATATCCTAGCCCAATATATTTCATATAGGCGATATTACTTGCAATAGACAGTTTTGTCAGTTCATTCTTTGAAGAATTGAGCTAAAATAAGTCTCTTGTTTGAGTGTTTAGTACGCGTATATAGGCTGTGATCGTAATGAAGTGGACAAGGCCACACAAGCTTGCGATACGCAGTCATGTTTCCAAAACAAGAAAGAATGGTGTGGTGAATCCAGCCTCCACGCTTCATAGCGACCGCTTCATTTGCGATACATACACACAGTGCCAGGTGTACCTTTACTATACCGTACGGTTCTTTTGTATCTGTATTTATTTCGCCAACATGTAGTGTATGTTTGCACTACTTAGAAGCGTGCGCTGCTCCATTTGGGTACATTTTATTCATAGATTCCCTAGTCTAGGTGCTAGAAGTGCCTAGCATGGGAGGGGGGCGTTTTCACAGCATATTATTTCGTGTGCTTGCCATATGGTCAAATATGGACAAAACACGATTAGTGACTTGACTGAATATTTTTCATCATGTACACTTAAAGATATTGGTGCTATATTATGTGTCAGAACAGTTAGGGGTGTTGAGGGGATCAAATTATGGTGACATAAACAAATGGTGATTTTGCAAAGCCAGTTTGTAAATGCATACACATAGGTGTTAACATACAGATCTATAGCCTAGAAAAATAGCTCTATGTATCTATCTAAAATAGCTTACCCAAGGTACAACTTTGCATGACTGTACTTGCTATGAAAGGAAAATTGTGAGGTAAGGTAAAGAGAATCTATTGAGAAAACAGCTACTTTTGATCGAGAATTCCCTTCCAAGTTGCATTATCTTTTCTCTTACCTATGATACCAAATGTAGTGTTGCTGGCAGTCATTCAACGATATGGCAAGATATTCCAAAATGCACAGGCATGTTTTCTCTAGATAGCCACTCACAAATATTTACCTAGCTAAAATGCTTGTATTATACCATGAAAGCACTGAATATACATATTCTCGGCACCATGCGCCCAAAACTCATTTGGAGTTCAGTATATTTTTGTCTTGTGTACTCTACCGCTAGTGTCGCTCTAATAGACGAGGGTATACCAACTACCAGGCAAAATATGATATAATTTACACTTCATACTATATCAATGATTCTTTATAATTATCTCTTTGTGTGCTTTTACTATATAGCGTGTTGTGCGACTGTATACGTTTCGGTAAACTATTCTATAATAGAACCTAGACATATACACGTAAACGAGTGTTCTTCATCTGGTTTGATTTCTCGTAATTAACGAAAGATTCTTAGTAAACGGAAACAGACAATTTCATTTACTTTGCAGGTGGGTAACACGAGAAAACCACATGGTGTGTCCTGTTGCACTATATTCGACCACATCCGTGGGACGGCTCGCGACTCGAAGCCACGCCCCCCTCTTTCCGAGTGTTGCCGATTCTAATTCTTTGGAGGGTGCCGCGCGAAGCGTCTAGAAGAACGGTTTTCATGTCGTCTGGATTCTTTTATTTTTCTACTACAGATCAAGAAGAAGACGACACAATATCTATACAACTTGTGCGGACAGTGGAATTTGAATTCTACGTGGTAGTTTGCCCAGCTCTCATAATATCAACTGCAAAATCATGTTAGCCACGAAGAAAGTCATCATAGCAACAACACAGCATGGAAGTTCATCCGTGTTGGTACAAGTCATTATGAAATAAAGACTAAGCTTCGATTTCCGACACTAACTACAAAGAATTGGGACTTACACAAATGGAGTCAACCGAAAATTTGGGGTAAATCCCAATTCTTTGTAGTTAGTGTTTGAAATTGAAGCTTAGTCTTTATTTTATAGCAACAACACGTTTTAGTTGTCAGTGTTCTTTATTCTTTCTTCCATGGGTTCAGGGGTTCATAGTCATGTTCATCTAAGCTATTGCGTTTATGTGTATTGTTTAGTGACTTGTCAAACATTTCATTTTGAATGTACAAGTGGCGACTAGAATATAAGTTGTACACAACTTGAGTAGGCTGCCACTTCGTTTTCGTCCTTTCTTTTGTATTATTGTTTCCTTGAATAAAAACACAAACAAAAACAGTGGAGTCAATTCAAGTATATGTCGATGACTGTAGTTAATCTAATTTTACATTATGCGGATAAAAACTATTGGTTTTAAAGAGAATATACACAAATATAGCACTTTTTAACCTCTTTAGACACTGTGAAATTGTATAAAAATGTAGCTGCAAGCGATAATACATAGCAGGTATAAGTTGCAAAAATACAAATGTTTGAATATACACATTGGTTAGAATATACGTATGGGAAACACTATTACCTGTTTAGAGCAACACCACATGTCATATAAGGTAAAATGTTAGTGAAAACAGACTTTTCTTTTAAAATGTACATTTGCCAATTCAATGTTTTTACAGTGGTTAAAACCGGTAGCTGTAGAATGTGTTGGTGTGCATTTGTTAGTCTATGTGCTAGACAGATTCTAGTGGTTTATATCTGACACAAAAAATCAGTTAAGATTTTCTTTGGTAGATATTTCTTTGAAAGAATGTTTAGCTTCACCAATATTCTGTGAAAGAGAGAATAACTTGTTTATTTCGTTCTTAATTACTTTTTGTCTAATTGGCACAGTGTTA